GCTGCATCTTTTATTTGACAGAATGCCATTGGGTTTAAATCTGCTTTCAAAGTTATTTTTTTAAGTACATCCTGCAATGTCCTCTTTGAGGGCAAGGTAAATAATTTTCTCAGAAAATTATAGCCTTTGGGACTTCTTTTATAAATCGACAAAGCTAATAATTTTTCTTCAATATTAAAACTCCTTCCACGGTCTCTTTTATTATGCTGAGTTAATTGCATATTTAGCAATATCTGAGCAGGCTTTGATAATGATTTCAGAATCTTTTGAAATAATTTTGTCTTTGACATTTTTTCTGCTGCTGTTATTTGACTTTACTGTCGCTTTTACTGTCGCTAAATGGAAACATACTCATATTACATTAAAACAACTAAAATTTACCTATGTTTCTACTATGTGTCAGGAAAGACTGTCATATCTTGGAATCTTTTCCATAGAAAATTTTATTGCTATAATAAATATAAACCAGAAAGCTGGCTATCTAGACTTTTCATTAAGTTTGTTGTTGGAAGTTCAGTTAGTTTATTTTTTTTGACACTGTCTGCAGAACAACAGTTTAAATAAAAGTTGTCAAACAAGATTATTAACTCTTATTATGAGAAATAATCTGCACAACTAGTCAACGCAGCAAGGCAAGCATAGTGCCATTGTCGAGAGCAACAATAACGGAGAGCAGCAATGCGAATAAGCAGAACAACTTCTATGGCAAGAGCAACAGACACAACTGTGCTTAAACATATACACCTGTAGATATTTGATATATCTAATACTATTTAAAATCACGTAATAGTAGAGGAACATTAAGGTTTTGTATTTAGAGGGTTGTCACTATGAGATCCCGCTCCACCTAAAAATTTTGTTAGGGCCGCCACCGCTAGGGCTTCATAACCACTTACCACTAGGTGGGGTTGTAGTAGTTAATGTAGGCAAGCTATACACTGATATACCCATAATAAGTAAAAACTAAAAGTTTGTTTGATCATCTTTACGAATATTACAACTGTTATATTCTTTAGTCTGCACTGTTAAAACAATTGCTAGTTAAATTGACAGTGAGAATACTTTTAATAAAGACTTACCAAGGTTAAGACTGGGGTATGCTGTTTTAGCAAGTCTTTTGTTCCGAGGATATATAAAACTATCTTCGAAGTGCCGATTCCAAATCCGGTAATTATGATAAATATCAAGATCGGTTTTATTTATCAAATATTTTCCAGCTATCCTCGTCCATAGTTGAAACCTTTCAAGTGACGTATACTTCGGTATAGGAAATTTGTGTAATATATCTGAAATGATAAAATATAATCATTAGTTTCGAGGCGAGAGACGGAAACTGAAACAGGAGATAGGCTTGGCAGAATAACCCGCCTGCCAAGCGTGGCAGCTATGGCAAATAGTACCTACGAGGCAATGCGTTGGCAGCCTATGCATAGTGGACTTGATGATTACAGCCCATGCCTTGAACTTTCAATTTCTTACATATTAGCTCTTTACAAGTGAATAAAAACCGGAAACTATGCGAATATTACAAAAGTACTTACCAAATTTGTCACATTTAAAAACACATTTTTACAGTGACATTTTTAAGCAGATTAAATACAAAAGAACTGAAGTAGATCACAAACTTATTAAAATAAAAGACATAAATGCACGAGAAATCGGAATAATATCAAATAGATATTGATATTAATTTAAGCCTTACTAACAGTAACCGCCATTAACTGCGTAGTGCACCGCGCATAGAACATGAATTGCTTCGTATGTATAGACCTAATATATAAACGTGCCCTCTAGTTCGAATAAAAGTAATTCTAGTTTACGTGTCCACACTAAAGATGGCAGCACAAAAAGATATCAATTTGTCTTCAAAATAATGTTCTAAGTTGCATGCCCATGTCACAATCCATTTGTGGCTAGAGACGGGACTTATATACATACAAATCTGTGATACAAATTGAGTCACAGTGGAGAGCAGTCTAGAGGTTTTTCAGAAAACAAAATACCATTAAAAACATAACTTGTAAAAAAACCAAGTCTCGCAACTCAGTTCTTCTACCGTAAAAGTTGTGAGATCCATGTAATACCAAGTCGGTTAATTTATTCAGTTCCTATTTAAGGGTCCTTCTGTTTTAAGTTATTACGTAATTAGCTAACCTAACAACATTTTATAGTGACCATATAAATGTTAAAAGTCTTTTATGTTTTAAATATATAGATTGACTTGGCCATCGCATAAAAACCACAATGTATCTCACAAGTAATACGTATTATATTAAATTAGATTGCTTAATGCGATTGCCAAGTCAATCTATGTATTTAAAACATAAAAGACTATTAAAATTGATATGGTCACTATAAAATGTTGTTAGGTTAGCTAATTACGTAATAACTTAAAACAGAAGGACCCTTAAGTAGGAACTGAATAAATTAACCGACTATGGATCTCACAACTTTTACGGTAGAAGAACTGAGTTGCGAGACTTGGTTTTTTTACAAGTTATGTTTTTAATGGTATCTCATTTCTTTTTTGTATATAAGATAGTCCTAATTTTTTTACCTTTCCGGTACCGTCTACTTCTTGAGTACCAACAACGTACCTATGAACTGAATATATATACAAGTACATAGATTCATTCACTGCAAATGCAACTTTGTAATTCTATATATTTATATGGGATTACAAAGTTATTTATGCAGTTAGTGTATCTAAAAAACTGGACAGAAATTAACAAATGTTTTAGTTTTTCCTTGATTTATACACTAAACAATAATTATATTCTAAATTTGAAGCTTCTATGTCTGCTAGAAGTGCCTTAGAGTTTTGATGATCGGTCAGTCAGTGAGTGACAAAATTAAGAAATTTTGACTGGTTACAATTCTTAAAATACTGGTTCAAATTGAATGAAATTTTAAATATACCATGTTTATACAATGCTTACTCGGTTACTGAAAATTCAGGCTTCTAGTTTTATTGACCATGAAGTTATAAGGGGTCGAAAATGGCCTGAATTGCTTCGAGAAAAGATGGTACGGCCGTGCCGCTTTTTTGCTCGACTTGGGGGGGCTGTGCCGGGCCCCCAGATTATAACAATTCACATTACATTATTTCATATACCTACTATCATTAGTTTAGTTTAGTTTGCGACGGGCTGTTTTCCGCAACTCCACGTCTAAGCGCGCGTGTGGGCAGGAATAATATGGTTATTCGAGCCATGATATCTCCCCGAAAAAGTTCAGCAGTCCCTTGATGTTGCAAACAACTTCGGGGAGTGATCCCGGCGTGCCGAGATGTTTAGCCCTGAATGAAGCGACTTCTGGACATGTCAGCAACACGTGAGCCCCCGTTTCTTCCTCTCCCATGCATGCCCTGCACAGGGGGCTATCAGTAACACCTATGGTGAACAAATGTTTGTTAAAAGAGCCATGTCTTGTGACAGCACTTGTTACTATCCTGATCTGTGGCTTGTTCAGTCTCATTAATACCTTGGTTAGACAACTGTTTATTTCAGGTAGGGTCTCCCTAGCTTGTCTACAGTCTACAAAAATTTTCCAAAGCTGAGCGAGTAAATTATTGAAGTATTTACGTACCAGTGACCTACTATCATAGCAGAGTTTAGGGCAACCAGACTTTATAGATAAGATTGGTCGAAACGGTTCAAAAATTGAACACCCTGACTTCACATAGTCTTGTCTGCCCTACTGCTAGAGTGTCTTGTAAAGGGCACGGAGGGAGAGCAGCCCCCGCCGGCTGTAGCAAATCGCAGGCACATAAGTGAGCCGTAGCGGCTAAGGCTGGTCACTGAAGGCGACCAATAAGCCAAAGCTGCGGAGGCGAGCATGAGTGCCTGTGATTTGCTACGCAAGGGCGAAGGGGCTGCACTTCCCGCAGTGCCGAGTGCCTGTTGCAGAAGTAACTTTGCGTCAATATTCCTGTATAAAAAAGTGGTGATAATTTTACAAAAAAAATTATTACTCATAAACTATACATTTCCGCAACGGGGGAAGGGTAGAGATGGGAAGCCTCATGCACTTCTATTCCCAATGATGACGTAAGTGATAACAGATTTTCAATATCACTTATCATCAGGTAAGGTGGTGGTATTAATATTTATGGGAGTGATGAACTTGAGCATAGTTTACTCGCAGTAATTTTACGCCAGGCTGTAATTATAATTAATAAACAATGGTAGGTCGTGGCGGCGTAACAGATTCCACTATTCTAATAATACTCCCCCCTCACTGAAGCAATTGATAGGGTAGGCCAATGTTCAGCACAGGAGGACTTTGGACAGGCTGTAATGAATGAAGATGCTGATGATTTGAATGTAAAAATAAATACATTAATTATTTAACAGGCTAAATATTTATTCATTCCTTTAATACTATCAAGCATAAACTATGAGTACACATAACACACAAAACTATAAACATCAGTACACAATGTCATAAAATTCTTTACACATCAATCTTATTAAAATATTTACGTAATGATTTTAACAGATTTCCTATGGGGTCAGTCTGATTTGTATGTTTACATAAGATTCCATTGTAGGAATTAAAAATATACAAAGCTTTTTAACCCTTCTACAGTTAGAGGGAATATTTTTCCCACCACCTTTTTTAATAGAAAAACCAAAAACTACCAATTGCAATAACCTTTTTATTTTGGCAACACTAAAAGAAAAGTTTAAAGTTCATTTTTTAAATTTGACATTGACATATTGTATACGACTTTTTTCGAAACGGTTGCATTGAAAATTAAAAACAGGAGTTTTTTTCAATTGCGAGAGAAATCGGTATAAATCTTCAAATTTACTTGGTGATTTATGGTAAGTTCTTCTAGATTTTGTAGATTTGTTTCTAATATCTTAGAAATCAGACGTATTTTTGGTTTATCTTGTACAATTTTTTTTCTGCAATGATTTTTCTTGGTGGTAAGAATATTCCCCCTAACCGTAACCCTATATTATATTATTACATTATTTTACAGATTGACTAAAATGAGCAGCAGAAAACTAAAAGAAAGTGAAATAGAGTCGGCTCTGGAGGAAATGTTTGGTTTACCATCAGATCCAGACCAGTCCGAAGACGATGAAGAATCGGATTAGGATAATGTTATACAATATCATAATGCGAAACTGCTGCGGATTTTAGAGGATTTAGATGAACCAGGATTGCGATCTTTAGATATAATAACGGCTTCTCCTCAGTTTTCCACGTCGAGTGATGAATCGGACCCGCGATGTTTTGTAAGATTTGAAAGGGTATCGTTATCGCCTAAACCTTCTACGTCGAATGCAGAACTGCCTAGTAGCGCCTATCCTGGTACAGTTCAAACTGAAAGGAGACAGGGAAGTGGATATGAGATGGGTAAGGAAAGTGGACGAGAAATAGGACAGAGAAGGAGAGCTGAAAAAAGTCGGGATCAAGGAGATAGTGGATCAGAGTCAGAAGTCGGAAACAAATGCTTCTGACGAAGATGAAGATACGTGGAAGAAAAAATTATGGACTGACAAGAGGCCACAACCAGACACCTTTAATAGTGTACCTACTGATGACTCCAACACGCATGCTACCATCAAATGCCAGGCCTGTTCGTCACTTTGAAAAATTTTTTACTCAAGAAATTGTCGAATTGATTATTAGAGAAACAAACCGATACGCTAATCAAAATAACGTCGTGGGGTGGACTGAAATTTATACCAAAGAATTGCAGGCTTTCTTGGGAATTTTAATTGTAATGGGCTACCACATTTTACCTTCTTTAGAACTTTATTGGTCGTCAGATCTTGGTTTTAGAGTTGATGAAATATCTTCCATTATGCCCTCCAGAAGATTCAAGCAAATCCTAAGATAAACATCTTCATCAAATCCTAAGATGTTTGCACTTGAATGATAATTCCAAACAATCAGCGAGGTCTGACCCCGCCTATGATAAATTATACAAAATACGACCATTGTTGACCCTACTCAACAGGGTTTTTCAAGAAAACGCCCATAACTCATCATCACAGTCAATAGACGAATCGATGATTCTTTTCAAGGGAAGGTCCTCATTGAAGCAATATATGCCCCTTAAACCGATAAAACGAGGTTTCAAGGTGTGGTGCCGTTGCGACGGTTCTACTGGTTATTTATATGAATTTGATATATATACTGGAAAAGAAGGTAACAGTGTGGAAGACAATTTAGGAGCAAAGGTAATCACGAAATTGACCGAAAAATTGAAAGGAATGTCAGCTGTGCATGTCACATTTGATAATTTTTTTTGTGGTTTTAATATCATGAATTATCTGTATGCTAATGGCATTTATGCTACCGGCACTGTACGCAGACAAAGAGCAGACTTGCCTCAAATTGCAAAGAGCAAAACGAAACTGAAATTAGAAAAAGGTCAATATAAATGGAGAGTAAAAGAAAACGTAGCTTTTGTGATCTGGCAAGACACAAAGGAAGTTCTATTTCTGACTAATGCTTTCCATCCAAAGGAAAATAAAACATTCGTACTCAGGACACAAAAAGATGGTACAAAAGTTAAAGTTTGATGCCCTGCAGTAGTAAAGGAGTACACAGGCAGGATGGGCGGAGTTGATCACTTCGATCATATCAAAGGTACATTTTCAGTTGGACGAAGAAGCAAAAGATGGTGGCTCCGCATCTTTTATTTTCTTTTTGATGCCTGCATCACAAATGCATTTTTGCTTTACAGCGCAAATGCTAATTCTGCGACACTAACCAATTTAGAGTTTCGTGTTGCCTTAGCAAGAGGGCTAATTGGAGGATTTTCATCGCGGAAACGGCGTTCAGCAGGCGTCAATTATGTTGTGAGAAAAAAGTTGCGATTTCTGATAATTACCAAAAGTTGAAAATTATCAATGTTACTGCCCCAGATATTCGCTTTTCTAACATTGGAGAGCACATGCCAGTTGATCTACCATCGTATCAACGATGTCGATATTGCAGCACTAAGATAAAAGATAAGCGGTCCAAGATCAAGTGTAGCAAATGTGAAGTTCCATTGTGTATAATGCCGTGCTTCCTAAACTTTCATAAACAAACGCCAACATAATTGGAACATTCTTTTTTCTACACTTTTTCGTGGCCACTTGTCCTAGGTTTTTATGACATATTCTATGTGACATATGTATTCTAAGTATATAAGGGAAAGCCTTCTGAAAAAAATTTCGACTTCCCATAAAGTCAAAGTTATTTAGCAAAGTGTAGCTTGCTAAACAAAAAACCAATGTGACCAACATGACCGGTGCTATTTGTATGGGGAATCGAAAATTTTTTTAATTTCTGCGAAAAATTTTCTTCAGTACCTTTCTCAGGATGATGATCTGAGTTCATGCTTAGTTCTCGGAAGGCTGTCCCTTACACCTTACATATTATATGTATAAGTAACTTTTGTATGCTTATTTAATATTTATGAATCATCTCTATTCTTATAATATTCAATCTTCTTGTTATCTTAGTGCTTAGTTTCTTGTGAGCTCTTCTCTGCATAGCTTTCCAAATACGCGTTACATTTGTTTAACTATTTTTCCGTATCATGTAAATTCGACTCCAGGCAGAGGGAATATTTTTACCACCAATAGAAAAAATAAAAAAATATTTTTTTTTATTTTAATTTATATTTTTAGGCATCAAAAATAACCTTAAGTTGAAATCAGATTCAATTTATCATAGCTCGATCGTTATGTCCGTTAAGGGGTTAAAAATAACTGAACAACTTTCCACATAAACATTAACAGTCTACTAGGACTGGAATCAAATTTGTGCCAAATTTAATTAAAGGCCAAAATTAAAATATTATATTGTTTAAAAAAATTACAATAACATACTATACATCTAAAAAGAAATACCTAAAATATAGAACAAGGAAATGGGAGAGTTAAAAAGTAAATGCTCCAAAAAAGTCAGGATGAAATTACTTATTTTATATCCTTCATTATAAAAAGAGCCATTGTTTGGTAAACATGCAATGTAGAACATTTTACACTTTTACATACAATTTTAATAATTTACTTAAATATTATTTAAGTGATGTAAAACAAATCACAAATTACAATACAACCTACTTACAAAAAAGTTAATAATATAACATATTACAGGAAAAACCCATCTGGGACTATAATAATATAGTAACATAATAGAAAATAAGTATTTAGAACTATTTATTCTTTACATAACATATACATGGTTTTACACAAAAACTACTTAATATACAGTATGTTAAAAACCTGTTCCCTTCGTTTGGATGTATTCAAGTAACATATTATGATAGAGAAATTAAAAAATTACCCCATAACAACAAAATATAATTTAATTAAATGGGGAAATTTACCAATACCAATGCCAACACATGTGGTACAGGTGGTCATCAGGTAAAAATACCACCACACATACAAAACAAAGATACCTTTGCCAACAAGGCTGTTGTTAGATCTTAAAAATTTCCTGACAATAACTTTTTTGTGTTCATATTATGATTTTTATTTAATTTTTGGTAACATCATTGTGATACATGTGTCCATTTTGGATTGGAAAAGGTGCTTTTTACATAGTGTATACTAAGAGAGAAGAAACAACAAAAATAATTAGTGTAATCTTCTACTATGTTGTTAAACATAGACTTTGTTCTAAACCTGTTATTGGAATTCTTTGTTGAAACATGTTTAATAGCAACTACAGCAACTCTAAATACATATTTTTAATAGAACATAGGTGACAAATGAGCACAAAGTTCACCTGATGGTAAGTGTATGCTGTGGCCCATGGACATCTACTCTTGTGCTTAGTTAAGATATAAAATGGAGATGCGTTGTTACCTCTGAGGACTGAAATGGATGTTCCATTGTAAAAATCCATTTTCCAGTAAATAGAGGCTCCGGTTCTCTACATACACCATATGAAACACAGCAGCATTAAGCTGTTATTTTATGATGGTATTCTGTGAGAGTGTAGTCCTACCCCGGTCGAGTCTGTTTGCCACATTTTCAACATGTTACAACGTCCTTTATGATATATCTAACTATTTTTTTACATGATTAACACAATGTTATTGCCAATTTAAAACAACTATTTTAAGTAATAAAATATGCATAATATTCTCTGCTGTATTATTTATTTTATCATTAACAATGTCTAAATATTTAAACAACTAAATAGCAAGGTGGTGGTGGATTAAAAAAAAACATCAAGTCAAATGTCGAAAGAGTCTATGGGTTTAGGCAAAAATATATTATAGCAACCAATTTAATGTTTATATATGCATTTATTTACAAATTATGACATATTTTTATAAATAAGATCAAAAAGTCTATATTTTATCATTGTTTGTCATCGCAAACCTCTGTGAAAATTTATTAAAATATATTTTTGCTATATTTGAAAATTTGCAGTCATATGTATATACTCTATAAAAGAATTAGATTCGAGAAACTTACCATTGAAAACTCAGTCTATATGTAATGGAACTATATATATACAGGTTGTTAGTGTAAACACCGTTATCCTTGAAACCAGTGGTTTGGTTTCACTTATAGAACAGTAAGCTATATAACATAATTAATTTCCGTAGTTTATAATATAAGATGTTTTCATATTTACTCTTTTGGATGCTGAATGACAATATGTTAAACATTAGGCTATCCTATTAACTGCTACAACCAGGGAAAAGAATGTAGTTTGCCTATGTATGAAATTTATGTTTAATACCCATATTTTAATCATAATATTCATATACAGCATAGAATATTATCCATATTAAAATACATGTTATAAATTTGTTGCTTACTACATTGACACAAATGTAGCTATATATTATGTATAGATATGATGCAAAAATCATAAACCTCAGAAATTACAACAGCTATTGGTTTTACGAGCAGTTTTATAAAATGCTTTACTATGCATTGTGAGGCTATCAGATTTAGCAACTAAATCATCTAATTTCTCTCCTCTCTCTAAAACAGCCTTAATAGTATCATGTAAAATTATTTTAGTCTCATCAAGATCATTTTGTATCTTTGTTAAAGCATCTGCTTCTCTAGGGTTCTGATATTTAGCCAAATACTGCGGCAAAACAGGGAAATCAACAGTGCTCTCGTTGGCTGTAGCCCATGAACTTGCTGGAACTTTGGCAGTAAATTCGTCAAGGATTTTTGTAATTAATGTGTGAGCCACTCTGTTTGGATATTCATGATCAGATATTAAGATTCCTGCAAGGTTATCTGCCCGTACGTATACCTGCAGCATGTACTCACCCTCCTTGACTGACTGTCTTGTTGATTGCTGAGTTCTCTCTACTATAGTTTTACTAACAAATACCATAAACTCCTGTACAGAAGATCGCTGAAAGAAACTAAAACTCTGTAAATCATACGCCGCCTTTAAAACTGTGGCGCTATTAACTCCTTTGTACAGGACTCCCAATGCATACACCCTAACCATGATGTGTTTCTTTCCCCTC